AAACAGACAAATTTACAATAAGTCAGAAAGATCATTACCTTGACCCTTTGAACGGCTTCTTGAGCCTGGTGTAATCGATTTACTTTGGAGGGATGATCTTCACAGATAAGTTGAGTACTACCCAAATATCTCGAACGATAAAGATGCCCCTCAATCAAGCGATCCGGGAAACTTGGATGATGGACAGCAACTACGGAGGAAATTGAAAGTCGTAAAAATATGGATAACTTCTTGAAGAAATTGTAAATGATTCAATCTCTTGTCCAATGGGGTGTGCGATAGGCTTACCTCCACGTGGTGTACCCTGGGCAAGGTATACTCATACGGCAAAAAAGTATATTAACCGGCAGTTGACTTCTGACTTCAAACTACCCTCACCCCACTGTATGTCATATTCGACTACTTTCACAGTACTCACCTCACCTTTTTCCACTTTTGTGCCTGTCTCCTTTACATCTTTTAAACTCTCTTCTGTTCCCCCTCTCCCTCTCGACTTTCTGTTACTTTGATGTTCCTCCTTCTCTGTAAAGTCTGAAGTCAACTAAAGAGCTAATGATAACTTTCACAACGCCTGCCATTTGATATAAATAAATCTCTTGTCCAATTGGGTTGAACTTAAGGCAATTTAATAGACTATGGCTTTAGCAGTGTTGGGAAATGATGTTGAATATGACTTGATACCATTTAGCTCCTCCCTTTTAGACATCAGTTAACAAAACGCAAACTGGTTAGTTGACATAAATTGTCATATTTCGTGATCTCTATACGTGTTGGTAAGGCAAAAACAGCTAATTCGTCGATTTTTAAAAAAGGGGGAAACCAATTGCCATGCGCTCTCCAATTCGAAGAGGCGATAGGGGAAGATTAAGGCGAAAATGAACCTGCCAAATGACGTTACTAAGTCAATAGGCTTTTTGAAAATAGTAGACGAATTTCGTGTGGGAATTTAGTAACGTAAATGGTTATTACAAACTCAAGTTTTCCGTGTTTTTCTAGAATTATTTTGTAGTGTGTAGAGCAACTGAAGCCTACAAAAAAAGGGAACCAGAAATTTTCAGTTTCGATTACTTAAAATTAGTCGTCAGATGTTTTGAGAATTTCAAAATTGTAATGGAATATAAAATAAATCCAACTCTTCTCAGGACATTAGACGCAGAATGAATATTCTGCCCGTAGGTATTTATTGTGGTCTAAAACAACAATCTCTATAAGAGATCCTGTAGATAAGACAAGCAAATACGAAAGGGTATAAAAGTCCACATAAGAGTTAAAAAAAGGAAGAATAGAAATGGGGAGAGAGAGAGAGCAGACATCATGTCCATGACCACAAAATGCTCTCACAGAGTCACCAGCACCCTATGACTAATTGGTCTGATCTAGCCAATGCCCACATTGAGCCTCCAATTCACCCTGCCATTCTCCTCCACTTAGGACTTGTAAGGCAAACAGAAGCGATCACGAAACAAATCTTGAATACGTGTTTTAGGTAACAGAAGCATTGTTAACTTTCTTTTTATTTGGATGAATTAATTTGCCTCAGTTGTCCAAATTCAATATACCACGTTTCTTCCGTAAATAAACACTATTTAAAAGTACCATAAATGAAACAGACACCCTTCGTCCTCCATCCTGTTTGTACTAACGTTGAATTAAGCACAATGACTTCCAAAAGGGAAGTTTTATTCGAGGGAGTGAGTTGGGTTAGATTAAAAGGGCATAAACATTAAACGATCAGGATGGAACAGTATAATTCTATAGAAGGAACAACTCCACTTGCTTTCAACTTATAATGAAAATGATATTGGAAACGAAGATGACGAGTAATGTTGAAGGGATGCTGATTATGGGTATAAGTCGCTAACCTCAAAGGACACTTCTAATTTCTCCCAACTGTATCCATTAGCATTAACACTGGAATTATATTAATACCCTACTTACCTTTAATCACAGTGATTCCTAAAACTATTCCAGCCATATTACTCAATAGTATATTCCCAGCTGTCAAATTTAATTTATAGGTGGAGTTAATACAGCAAAACTCAATCAAAGATAATTAAACAGGAAGGAAATATTACTATGGGAAAAGTGACTTACCCTCTCGTCCACGACGCTTCTTCACAGACTAAAAGAAATAGAAATAAACAGTACGAGATTAGATTAGAATAGAATGTGGGGTGGAGTGTGGGGGGGGGGCGGTTGGGTTGAACACGTAACTGCGCAAAACAAAGCGTAGTCACGAGATAGGGATGGGGAGGGGAGCGAGATCTTGGTTACCGGACCAGTGCTGGTGGTTTTTTTTCTCCTTTAGAAAAGGCAATCGAAATGAAGCTCCTATTTTGATTAATTTTGCCAGAGATAAAGACAATTTTTCGCAGTATTTTGTTTATGGAAAAAGAAAAGTAAAAAAAGAGAAATTACAATCCAATGTTATTTGTTTGCACCATTGAGTCACTGATGTGGACCAGTGAAATTCTGTATTTTGGGAGCAAAGCTCAACAGGCCCGTTGAGAAGGAAGGTATTCTGGAGACGCTTATCTCATTCAACCTAAACTAGCATCAAACTTCGCAGACAACTTTTCTTAATCGCTGCATTCTACGAATTGATTAATTGCACCATGGAAACTACCACTAGATAAACAAGCTCCAATGTCCATATACTCGATCGCCGATCTGAATGAACAATGAGCTGAAGATTGATAAAATTAAAATCAGCTTTGCTTGATGTAAAAGTAATTTAGCTACGCTACAGGCATAGGCTACTATAGAATCATAAAACTGGTTTATTTCGCCAAAATCACAGGCACTATAGGACAGAAGGAGGAGCTGAAAGAAAATAAGGATGCGAAGAAAGCCCAGATGGAAGTTTGAGGTGGGTAAATAAGAAGTCATTCATAAAGTCAATCTCCTCACCAGAGAGGGATAGATCAATAATGATAATACCACAAGCGCGATAAGCACGTAGGTTTCTAGACGCTACAGAAATGGTATTTCATAAAGACAAGGAGCAATTTAATGGTGAACAACTTTATTAATGCGGTTAGCAAAATTTGCATGTTTAAAGGAGCAAAAAAGACATTTAACGCAAGAGAAGGACATTACTTTTGATAAACATCATACACACACGGCCAAATGTTGTGGCCGAATTCTCAATTCTCATTCGAAAATGAATGAAATATAACAAGTATAATCGAAAGATGTCAACAGAACAACAACTTAAACGGTGTACTCCTTCCAATTAACCTGATGCTGTTTCTAGTCACCAAGTTTAACTGCTAATAGATGGATAAAAACCAAATGGTAAATCAGACCTACAAAAAACTCAAACCACTCTTATAGAGTAAGATAATTACTTCAGATTCAAGACATTTCAACGTAATGAAGAGAAAAATTTTCTTCAAGTGGCGGGTGTTTTGATAGTTATCATTAGCCCTTTAGTTGACTTCGGATTTCACAGAGAGGAGGAGGGACATCAAAGTGACAAAAAGTCGAGAGGAGGGATAGAATAATGATTAACAGTTGTAGAGGCAGACAAAGGTAGTTGAGTTGGGTACTGTAGAAGGGGGCGAATATGACTAACAGTCGGGTCATGGTAGTTTGAAGTCAGAAGTCAACTGCCGGTGGTCATGGTAGTTTGAAGTCAGAAGTCAACTGCCGGTTAAAAGACTTTTTGCCGTATGAGTATACGTTACCCAGAGAGCACCACGTGGAGGTAAATTTATCACACACCCCATGAAGATAAAATACTTTCAAGAAAATGATCTCCAGAAATAGGCCTTGCTATTCAAAGATACGGAATTGAAAAAAAGGCCTTTATAAGACCCCAAAGCACTCTCTCTCACACTCACACTCACTATTAAATCTACACGAATATGTAGGCATTGCATCCTTTTAACCAACTCGAAATTATTAACAAGGTTCGCCTCATCTACTTCAGTATAGTGGATTTGAGTTTTCACAAGCTAGGGAGAATTTTGACATATTTGGTAACCTTTCTTAGGGCATATGTGCCGATTGTCCTAAAAAGGTAGCAACGGTTTCGTTCAAGCGCAGAACGCATCGTAATTAAATGTTAGATTTGTGTCGATCCAATTCTTCCTAACTTTGCTATCTCATCTGAGGGCAAATATACCCCAATAATTAATATCCCAAAGAAAGATTTGACATTGAATCAATGGATTCTGGAAAAGAATTTAAGGAATAATAAGTAATAAATACTGAAAAATAAACTAGGTGGGAATTCGAAATCTTATAGGTCTAAGCGGAGGTGGTGATAATACACTCTTAAAAACTTAGCTTGTGCGATTTCCAACCCCGCGGCACAAAAAACAACTTCACCTGTTTCTCTTTACAAACACCCTTCCCCCTCCCCCCCCCCACTCACGATCTCCCATTTTCTCCAACACTTGTTTTAAGCTTGCACAAACACAAACCCAGATGATAAAAGAATACACTTTCCCCTAAAGCTAGAAACGTGGACAAAGCAAGAATGAAAGCGCCACTTATTTAGAACCTATGCGTAGGAAATACATACCAATGAATGCCAGGTAAATAAAACCAAGTAGCTAATAATAAACCCTGTCGGTTTGCAACAGTCTTCTTTCACATTTCTGTTGTCACATCATAAATTGGCAAGATAGAACGTGTAGCCTAGAAATCGGACAGCTAACTACTTATACACCTTCTGGAGCGTATCATTCTATTCTTACTGTAACCACTTCATTATAAAAATATTAATAAACCAGTAGCTAACGATTCAATATACATATTGATAGTGACACTTTCACAGTCACTTCGAAAGGGTGAACACGAGAGAATAAACATAGGAAAAAAACATTAAAGGCCAATAAAGTCATTTGGTCGCCACGCACATAAACAGAAAAGTTTGTCCAATGAGCCCAATCAGAGGAAGGGGTCTTAGATCATGCACACGAGGGCATTTTAGCTTGCCAATACTCTTCTTGGACAAAATTTGGTCGCCTTACACGTTGACAAACAAAATTTCCTCCATCTAAGCCAAATATCACATACACTTGGGAAAGAATGGCAAAAAACTGTGATGATTAAGTGGTAAAACTATGGGAACCAATGGAGGAAGAGTAGCCACGATTGCAATTAAGTAGTATAGTTGCGGGTCAATAGATGCCACGAGAAAAAGGGAAGAGTGAATGGGGTTGCAAATGAGGCGCAGAAAACACGATTTTGGAAGTGGATGTTTAACTTATCAGATAGCTTAATCGCCCAAAGATTACTCAATCAAAAGCTCAAAGAGTAAATAGCATAAACCAAAAAATAGGAGAAATAAAATGAAATAACTCACAAGATACTCTGCCTCCTCCTTGAGCTCAGGAATATCAACGGGTTTATCACTTCGATATTGTTTATCCAACAGCTGATCTGTGTCCTCGTCGCTTCCATAGTCTATAAAAGCAACAAATGGGTAAGAAAATTCTGTCACACAGAACTGCCCTAAAACTCATTCAGGTGTATAAGTGTAATTCAGTATAAGCGAATAATAGTTTTTAATAGAAGTAAACACTGCAAGAAGGACTCTCAGAAAACCCAACTTTGGTATCAAAGTCCGATGCACCAGATAACATGAGATATAACGAACTGAAAGGGTGGTCGAGTCAAGACCTGTTGTCTTCAACCCCCCCCCCGTCCCCAACCCTCTAACTAGATCTTTGAAAGCAAGTTGAACCTAAAGCACGAGTTATAATTAAAAAAAGTTGACGTAACACTAATAAATCCGGAGATTCTCCTAACAACGAAACAGAAATGTGATTTACGATTAGTTTGACTAATTTTTGCCGGTTCGTAAATTTGGGGAAACTATGACAACTATAAATGCCAAAGTGAGATGTATATAGGAGCGAAAAATGAGCAAACTACAATCTAACCACATTAAAACAAAGCTAATGTTTGTACCTCAATCTAAAACAAGGCAGCAAGATTGGGAGCATCAAAATTGCAAACTTGAATTTCTTTAATATTTTTTTTAATAACAAGACTGAAAGGCGTCACAATCATGAGAGACAGAGAGCAAGCCAAGATAAAGCAGCATTTTAAGTCAACAACAGTTTGCAAACAAACGTTACGTTATTAATGGAGTAGAAAATGACTGCTAGCTTAGAGAAAATTGAAATATAAAACAGGATTGCATATACTTCGCATATTCCTAGCATCAAATACTACCTAAAAAGATGAAATGAAACACAAAAAAAACAAAGATTAAATGATAAAAAGGCTACACTCCAATCTCACTAAATCATTTGCTCATATATCATCTCAATGTTGATTAAATAATTCAGTACTTAGAGGGTAGAACACATGATGCTGTGGAAATTGCCCTTAAAAACTACTTTAAGCGTCAAAGTCGGTTTGTGATAAAAGTCCTAAAAATGTGACAAAAAAATATAGAAAAGGCGCGCACGATAAAAATTTCAAACTTGGAAAAATATCAATTTTAAGAATGTCAATTATTGCTTTACAACTTTGGGGAGAAATTCAGCTGAGAAGTATCATTAGTATAATTAAGGGGTTTAAATATATCAAGATTTGTTGTGGTCTATAGGTAAGCTGTATCCCTGACTCGGATCTAAAACCTGAATAAACTTTAACCAGACATCCAAATATCCTATTTGTTGAAAATTAGATGGCGGGACATGGCAAGAATCAATAAAATTTCAAGTTGAAAAGCTAAAAAAACAACATGTTTCATTAAATTAACATGGAATAAAATGTTAGCACAAGAAGAGCAGTTGGAGGAGAAAAAATTGGACAGGATAAAACCGAAATTCCATAAATTCCAGTTTGGCATAAAAGCAAAGAAAACAAGAAGCAACTTCCATTTAGAATATTGAAATGAAGGCTCAAAAAAAAGACCCAACTACGAAACAAGCAAAATTGGCAAGTGAAGAAAAACCGATGTTGAATATTGTCATGTGACTGTAAACTTGCCTCTTGGCAGGGCATCGTGATGGGAGGAGCATTTTAATAGCCTTATTTGTTGAAAAAAAGCCACGTTGTCCTCTTAGCTACAAACTAGCAAAAATTGAGACGTTGATTTACGAGTGAAATTTCCATATTTAGGATAAATTTAACCTCCTAAGTTGAGTGAAAAATAAAAAAATGAAAAAGTATAATATTTGACGCTTGATGGGCTAACCGCATAATCAAATTCAGTTAACAATTAACAATAATGAGTATTCGGCACATACAGTTCGAGTAAAAAAACTAATATTACTATTATTATTATTATTAATATAGTATTATAGTATTAATAGTATTATAGTATTATAGTATTAATATAATAGCGCTCAGATCGAATACAATTGCAGGTGGTTATTCGTATGCGCTAGATTGAATTATTTCGTTCAATAAACGATTTCCCCCAACTTTAATAATAGTGTAAGAACGCACACAATGCGCTCGAGAACAAAAAAGCCTAATTACTGAAACTTTGAAGCGAATTAATATTCACCGGTTAATATTATTGATATAACACAAGATCCATTTATAAAATCAGATGGAAAACATTGATCTGAAAATTAATTACGTAGCTATTTATAACGATTGAATTAACGCTTTAAATTTAAACTATTGAATTTGGGGCTTTTCCCATTCCAGTGTAAAATTAAAACCGTATGATTGACGGTTGAATGGAGAAATTAGCGTGTTAAGCGTCATTTTGCGGAGAACTGTTTGAGTGCCACAGCGAAATTTAGACATGACTCACCGTCTTTAAAGTAATTCGCACGGCTATATTTTAAAGGGTTTATGAGATTAGAGTAAAACGGCTCTACTAACACTCATTAGGTTACTGTGGGCGACGAAAACAGCTAGTCTATCGATGCTGACAGATCTAGACAGAGTAGTCATAAATTTGGTAGAAAACAAACTGCGCTAGATAGCTTAGATATTATCGAGCTCATGGATCACGATTATAAATTATATTCATTACTGTGGGGTGTGCGATAGACTTATCTCCACGTGGTGCACCCTGGGCAACGTATACTCATGCGGCAAAAAAGTCTTTAAACCGGCAGTTGACTTCTCACTTCAAACTACCATCACCCCACTGTATGTCATTGTCGACTTCTTCCACAGTGCTCACCTCATCTTTTTCTCTGCCTTTGTGTCTGTGTCTTTTACATCTTTAAAACACTTCTGTTCACCCTCCCCTCTGTGAAGCCTGAAGTCAACTAAAGGGCTAATGATAACTATCAAAACGCCTGCCATTTGTTATAAATAAATAAATAAATTTTAGCCCTTGAAGGCAATATTATGCATAGTTAAATGCTTATAGGAAGTAAATTTATATCCAACGGCCTGCGCGAGAAGGATTAAAGTCTCTTCTCGTTTTTTTTACATTTAAGATTTATGTCACAGTTAGCTCCTATTTGCGCGAAAGAAAATAAGTCATCTTGAAGGTAGTAATTACTTTTTACCTGGGAATACTAGTAGAACGCGAGCAAAGAAACCTGCCTATTGACCATGACAGGGAGGAAATCAGGAGATGGATAGAGACCAGCATTTTTTTGTCGTGGAAAGCAATCAAACCGATCGAGTCGAAATAGTGGAGAAAGAATTGGGGATAGAAAAACTCATAAATAGCATGGAAGTTGTGAGCGCACTCGTCGTAATCTCACTCTGTATGAACAGGCACATCAAGTATTCGATTTCTAAGCTTGGAAATGGGTACGTGAAGCATTTAGTGAGTAACCCATGTCTACAATTATTGGCTGAGTTGACAACCAATTAAACAAATTTCTTTGCTCAATAGAAAAACGGTCTTTTTAGCCACAGGTGGTCCCTATTCTTATATCTGAGATCTGCATGACTTTAGTTTTACAAAGTGGGATGTGCGATAGACTTACCTCCGCGGCAAATAAGTCTATAAACTGGCAGATGACTTCCCTATATTTGCGTTTGTCTCTTTTACATCTGTGAATAACTCTTCTGTTCCCCGCCTCTCCACTTTTGTGACTTTGATATACCTCCCTTCTGTGAAGCCCGAAGCCAACTACTAAAGGGCTAATGATACCCATCACAAAGCCTTCCATTTAATATAAACAAATTCTGCACTTCACTTCATGAGCAGTTGTAACCGGGGTGGTTGGTCATGTCACTCACAAGACCAATACGCATCATAATGACCAGCATCAATGGCAATATAAATATATAAATAAATATATATATGATTAATAATAATAAAAATAATAAATACTAGTTAGGGCGATGCGTAGGAATGATAAAAATCCGCCGTTTTTCCACGTTTGTGACTCAGCTTGTTAAAGGGAAAAGAAATGACATAATAACTTTTTAATGATGTACTATTATCCACAATATAATATAACTAGTTGCAACTATTTTTCTCGCAACTATTGTGTCGACGATCTATGAAAGTGATCTGGCCGAAAGTGATATTGTGGTGTTGCACAAGGGTGTCTATTCCTTGAGACTAGTTGGGATATTCGTGACAATTAAGTGTAATTACAGCTTAATTATCCAAACTTCAGAGGGCAAAAGTATTCTTTTTATTTCGACCGTTTTTACTTTCTCCAATAAAGAGTTGCATAACAAGTGAATTTGTTTCGAAATAGGTGTCCAAACTGTTTGGGGTTAATGCATATGAAATATGGAATAAAGCATTCCATTTCCCACTCAATAAGCATTGATAAAGGTTAAATGAAGACAATTTTTCGCGGCTGTTCTGTTAGGTCATGAGTTAATATCATCTTGAATGGTTCCAGTTTTAAAGCCGGACATTTTACTCAGGATAAGGCCCTTCGTAAGTCGTCTTTGTTAAAGGAGCAGCATTTTGTGGGGTGCCCCATGTGCGCAACTCAATATCACCATCTGACGATCGCGTTAACACTCTCGTCACTCGCTCATTGGTTATTGATTTGACGCAGTTACTTGCGGTGGCTTCATTGATTTTCATCCGTCAAAATCGAGTCACAATGAGACAACTACCTAAATAAACAACAACAACATGAGTTTTTTTTACTGTCTTGGGTTTTCTGAATGAAACTCTGTGGAGCTTGACTCAATTCAATTTGTAAATTATGCCCCCTTTTTCCAGAAGGGACAATTTTTTTCATTTTTCTGCAGATTTGTTCAGTCATTATCTACCAATCATGAAGTTCCACGTTAAAATTTATTGTTATTATTATTATTAAATATAAATAGTGAAAAATGTCATTTAAAGTCTTGGCGAGGACATCCGAACCAGTTCAAGAAATGTCTGGTGTGTGTGTGTTTAAAAGGGGGTGTTAAGTAACAGAATTAAAAGCTTTTTCGGTGTCTGCACCCTGAAATCGTCAGATTGTCTGTAGATTTATTTATTCTCCCGAATCTCTCGGGATTGCAATCACACGCATTGAAAAGGTGCGGCCAGTTGTCCAAATAAATCAACCTCGTGGACTAACAGATCAAGAAGTTTGCTTTTTGAACCACCAAGCACTGGACCACGCCATAAAGAAGAATAGATGCAAATCTTGATTCTTTTGGCGCTCATTAATTGTATTTATTTTTAATGTTATCATTATTATTATTATTTAATGTAACACGAGTTCTGGTGTTCTCTCACGAAACT